CCACGCTGCCCTCCCGGCAGGCAGGGTGGTGACGTGCAGGCTGTCATCAGCAGGCAGAACTAGGCCATTCCTGGGGGGCACCACCTGGGGCGTGGGAGTGAATCACAGATGTGGCCTGAGATGATTGACAGGAGGTTGTGGGATGAGCCTGAGCAGAGACCCAGGAGGGAAGAAACCTCTCTCTGACTCTTTGCGCGCGGACCTGGACCCGTACCTCCATCGCAGGTAGGTGGGTCCCCAACAAAGCAGGCCACAGAGGAGGATTTACGGCCAGTGTCCTTGGCGTCGCTGGAACAGGTTTTAGGTTCTTTACAGAATCCCTAGTTGCGGCCAAGTATCCAGGACCCCTGTCATCAGGCAAGGCAGGTACCCTGAGGGTCAGGGGCGTCCTGGGACATGGGGGTCTGGTCGTGGAGGATTTCATGGAGGATGGGGAGCTAGAGACCTGGGTGTCCCGGGGCCTAGGACTGCAGGGACGCGTTAGGCCTCCTGCCTGCCCTGGGTGAACCTGGATGCAGTGCTTCAAAGGGAGGGTGGGGTGCACCTTAATTGCAGGTGCTTTGAAGGTGCCGGGATGAAAGCCTTAGGAGGTATAATTACCTGAGAAGATTCTCCAAGAGTCTAGGAGGAGCCAGGCTGCTGTCTGCCAGGCATCCATGATGGGGGGCTCCAGGGAGGCCTCCTTAAAGGGGCAGTGCTCTTCCCTGCAGCCCAAGGCTGAGCCTTCTGCTCTGCTCACCCCAGCAGCTGCCTGGGCGCTTCCCATCCCATCAGCCCGGGAAGGCTAAGCCCTGGGGGTGCACTCCCTGAATCCCAATAGGTTACCAGAGGTGGCCTCACTTGGGACCGAGGAGGATGGTGGTGCCTCCAGGCTAGGGTGAAAGAAGAGGCAGCCAGAGGGAGGAGGAGGCGAAGGGGCAGGTGGCTGTAGTCCTGGGAAGGAGCTGGCCAGTGACGTGCGTGCGGGGCTTGTATTTTTGCAGAGAAGAGAAGTAACAGGGAAGGGTCCGCCCTCAGGGTTCTGGCCTTTGACTCTCACCACACCTGCTACATCCATCTGTCCATCCGGAGAGCTGGGCTCGGGCCCCACTTCCTGTCTCCCTTGGGGTCAGGCCCCTCCTCCCCTCCTCTCCTGTTCTGACTCTTCTCTGCACAAAACCTACAGAGAACACAGAGCGGTGGTCCGTGTGGGCATGGAGTGGGGCAGGGGTACTGGGTGTAGAGGAGAAACTGGGAAGAAGCAGGAGGGGACTTGCTGGAGTATCCACAGCCACCTACATCTTCATCCAGTGGGTGATGACACAGCTGGACAGGAATGGGTATAAGCGACTGAGCTGAACGCAGGATGTGCACATTTTGTGTGTGTGTGTGGGGGTGTACAGGGGATTGAATTCAGGGACACTCAACCACTGAGCCACATCCCCAGCCCTAGTTTGTATTTTATTAGAGACAGGCTCTCACTGAGTTGCTTAGCTTCTCACTGTTGCTGAGGCTGGCTTTGAACTTTTTCGATCCTCCTGCCTCAGCCTCCTGAGCCGCTGGGATTACAGGAGTGCACCCCAGCCTCCTGTTTGTTAACTGTACCCAGGACCCACTTCCACCCCTACCGGTGGGAATCGGCCAGCAAGAGGAAATGACTGCCACACAGCCCTCCCAGCTAGGATGTGCACACTTTAGACATACACTATAATTCGATTTTTTTTAAGGACCTGGGGGAATTGATCAGCTGAGATCTGTTTTGCCGGCTTCCCCTTTTTTAGGGTTGGTTTCCTTTGGGCTTCCCTTGGGCCCCCCTTTGTTCCTTGGTTGTTTTGCCCTTCCCGGTTGGGCTTTTGCTTCCTTGTTGGCTTTTCTTGGTTTTGGGCTTGAAATTGCCCCCTTCCCCCTTCCTTTTCTTCTTTTGTTTGTTTTTTTTTTTTTCCTTCTTGTGTGGTTCCTGTTTTGTTCTTTTTTTTTTTTTTTTGAGATAGGGTCTCCCTAAATTGCCCAGACTGGCCTTGAACTTTTGATCCTCCTGTCTTAGCCTCCCTGGTCGCTGAGATTACAGGTGTGTGCCACTGTGCCAGATCCCATTCAGCTTTCTGTCCCTGATCCCAGGCCTCTGGGCAGGTAGCCCCAGAGCCTCCGGACCATCCCTCTCCCAGGCTGCTACTAGTTCGATCATCCTTGTCCTCTGGACACCTCCCGCTGTGGTGGTGACCATAGCCCCCTAACCCTTCTCCCTGCCCTTTTCTCCTTCCTTCAGTCTGCCTGCCCACTGTGGCCAGATTGACATTCCTAGGTTAGCATCCTGTGTCCTCTCTCCACCTTGCAGGTGCTGCTGATGAGTCAGGTGGTGAAGTGGTGTGGGCTGTGGTGAACAGCAGCATCTCTAGAGCTGATTGTTCCCATTTTGCAGATGAGGAAAGCGGGGCTGAAGAAGGATGAGCACCTTGCAGGTAGGGCAACGGAGAGCTAGATTTATACCCACTTCTGCAGAATCCGGCCTTGCCTCCTCCAGTCTCAGCTGCTCCGAAGTGCCTCCCTCACCCCCTGGACTTGCAACTCCTTGCAAGGGAGTTGATCCAACTCCTGGGCCTTTGCACAATCTAGGAATGACTTTCTCCACCTCTCCAGCCCCCAGCAAACTCCCACTCACCTTTACTTCAAGGTCAAGTATCTGAAACACCTTCCTCTACACCAGGTACCTTATCTTCCTTTGTCTTTATGTTGACAACTGGACATTACACGGTGGATTCTGGATTTGGATGAGCCACTTGTAGCCTGACTCCTTCCCCTGACGAGGCTGTGGGCCTCTGGAAGCCAAGACTCACACTTCAGGTTTGAAATGTATAATTACTACACTCGTGAGTTACCGGAGCAGTGAAGGTCAAGAGCATGGGTGGTAGAGTCCAGTCTCTTCCATGCCTTTCTCTGTCATCTACAAAATGGGGATCACACTCCATTCACCTCACTGGATTGTCATGAGCAATGGGCTGGAAACGGCCTGGCCCAGGTGAGCCCTTGTGAATCTATCCCTGTGCCCACCATGGTCTCCTGTACTCTGAGGACCCTTGGAAGCACACATCATCCGCTCGCTTGCAGAAAAGAAAACTGAGACCTGGTACCCAAGGTGTCCAGCTGGCCCTCTGGACTCCAACCCTGGGCTCCCCACCCCTGCCCCACCTCAGCCTAGCACCTCTCAAATAGCCCTGGCAGCCACACAAGCTCAGTCAGGTGCGTGTTAGCTGCATTCATGGAAGATGAGTCACGGGTGGCATGCTTGCCCTCTCTGGTCAGACCAAAATATCCTGGTGAATGTTTGGCGTTAAGTAATAAACTCTGACTGGGTGATGTCTGATGGTCACTCCTCTTGCCTCAGCTTCATGTCATTTCCTTAATGTCAACTGCTGTCCCCTCCCACACAGTGCACTCCCTGAAGAAGCAACACAGGAAGGGCAGACGGGAAACTAGCGAGAATGAAGGGGAAGAGCCCTCCTGGGGAATGATTCTGATTGCGGCTTTGTATGGCGTGACTTTTGTGTCTGTAAACATCCCACATCCAAAAAAATAAACCAAACTGGGGTGAGTGTGTGGGAATGCATTGACTCCTTATTAAAACTGATAAAATAACCAGAGAATATTTCAAGTTCTTTCTGAGCACTGTAATGTTTTTAAGGACAAGAAAAAAATCTTTTTAAATGCTTTCCTCCACAGGTTTATTTTTGGCAGCAATATTAAAATTGTTATTTTCAAATGTATTGTAGAATACAGCAAACAAGTAAACACATTAGTGTTATTACAATTTTCACTGTAAAAGAAATAAGATTAAGAGAAGAGATAAGCTCCTCAGATTTCTCCCTCAGGGCCACAGTTGGTAACTTTCCACTGTGTGGTCAGGCATCCAGCCCAGGAGGTCTCCAAGCAGGGAAGGGACAGGCGGGGGGGGGGGGGGGGTTCTGTGGGGTTCCCCAGGGCCTCATTGGGCCAAGTTTGTGTGTGTGAGTGGAAGGCACATCCTAGGTCGACCAGTTGACCTGGCGCCCCATCTTTCCCCAACCCAGGAAGGTCTTGCTCTCCACTGTAGTTCCAGGGCCCACTGGCATTTCTTGGCTTTGGGTGACACCCCCTGACAGACCTGATGTCTGTGAATAGGAATCCATGGGCTGGAACTGGGGCCCAGTGGGAGAGCACTCACCTGGTACCTGTGAGGCACTGGGTTCGATCCTTAGCACCACTTAAAAATAAATAAAGTAAAAGCATTGTGTCCATCTACAACTTGAAAAAACAAAAGAACCCACTTTTGCTTCCACCTTGTACAGGGGGGTATGAGTTCCAGGCTCATGAGCCAGGCTGAGGTCACCAGGTCTTCAAATTCCAGCACTGGAAGGAGTTTGGAACTATGCCCAAAGAATGCCTCCCAGAGCGCACCTCACAGGGCTGGCCTCTCAGCAACGATGGCTTTGCTATCTCTGGGTTCAAACAGTGCTTTTGGGTTAACGAAAAGTAAACCGCATTACACACCTGAAGCACACACCTGTAATCCCAGTGACTCAGGAGGCTGAGGCAGGAGGATCAAAGTTTAAAGCCAGCCTCAGCAACTTAGGGAGATCCTGTCTCAAATAAAACATAAAAAAGACTGGGAATGTAGTTTATTAGTACAGACTGCTGGGCTCAATCCCCAGTACCAAAAAAAAAAAAAAAGTAAACTGTGTCGGATGAACCCACTTTGATGGACATTCTTTTACAAGCTCCTGAGACAAAGGACCACCAGGTTCAAGGCTGCCCTTCAAGACTACACTGAGGAACCTGCCCAGGCCCACCTGGGGAACCACCCTGGAACCCAACTCTAGTACTATTTCTCACAGAGCTGTGTGACCAGTCATGCAGAGGACACTAGCTGTCCTCTGCTCCCTTGAGGACCCTTGTTTTGGGGCAAGGTGGCCAGGGTTCAAACCCTGCTCTGCCACCCGAGAGCTCAACCCTGGGCAGGCCGTGCTGCCCTGTACTGTCTTGGCATAAGGCAGGGCCGCTGAGAGGTCCTAGCTCCCAGAACTATGTGGACAAGGTGGTGAGGAGCTTCAGGGGACTGCTTTGCTGAGCATGGCCCTGGGCCTGGGCATCACTGGCGGAGGCAGGGCGCATGCTCACAGCCGGCCCCAGGACCCCTGGATCAAAGGCTGTGCTTTAAGAAGCCCCACGAAGTGAGGTCTTGTCCCCAGCCCCACACAGCAGGCCTCCCAGGCTGCTGGGGAGAAGATGACGCAGGGCAGACACGCAGACGGAAGGCTGCCGCACCACGTTATCCTCTTCTACTTTATTACTTCAAATTAACAACCACAATAAAGCTCAAAAAAGTCCGATATTTACACAGGAAAAAAGTACAAAATTCCCCCCAAAGTTCTTCAGTATTTTTTTCAATTTTTTAAATTACAAAGTAATAAAAACCTTTGCTCTTTAATTAAAAAAAAAAGGAAAAAGGGGAAACAGAGGTAAATAAATTAGGAAATACACACACGGAGAAAACAAACAAAAATAAAATAAAAAACAAAAACAGGTGTTAACTAGGAAGGATGGAAAATCCAACACTTAGCCCTGACCCCAGGCTCCTCCCCAGAAGGCAGGGCCCAGGGGAGGGGGACCCCAGGTGACTGTCAGGACCAGAGAAGTAGTTGATAACCCAGAGCAGACGCTGGCTGGGAGTAGTGTCCACAGTCTCTGCCCCAGACCAGGCAGGAATGGAAGATGGGACCGCCACAGGCTGGCATTTGGGGACTGGTGGTGGCAAGGACCCGCTGTGCCCTGAGGGATGTGGAGGCCACTGTCCACCCCCACATCCCTTCACGGGGATAACAAACTCAGCCTGGCAGGTGGGGACGGGGCACCGCTGCTCTGGGACACAGGTCAAATACGCGCACACACACATACACACAAGGCAATAGTGGCCACCACCTCACTCAAGGCTTCATGGAGAGACAAAGGAAGGACCCAAATGCTCAGGGGGACGCTGGAAAGTCCAGCACAGAAAGTTGGCCACTGTCATCTCAGAGGGACAGGGGCTGTGCGCATCTCCTTGGTTCCAAGGCTCAGGGAGCCCGGTGGAACCCGCCTTCGACTGGCCGCCCGCTGCTGCTGTGGGCTCCGCGTCCCTGCTGGCTGCTGTCCCACACCGAGGGGCGCCTCCGGCAGGCGGATGGTGGTGGCAGGAACAGGTGGCTGAAGTGGGGCCTTGGCATCTGGCTGGTGTGAGCCGGTGTTGTTGGGGAGCATTTGGCAGCCTGAAGGCTGGGGACAGCGGGCAGTGCAAGGGGACACGGTCCTCAGTGCTAAGGGCATCCATCTTTTTGCCGTTGGCAAAATAAATCAAAGAAACAAGATCCATCGTCGGTTTTGTGCTGGGTTTTTTCTTTTTGTTCATTTGAGTGGTTTTTTTTCCATCTTTTTGTTTTGTGTTTTTTTGATTTTGTTTTTTTAAAGAAAATACAGTGAAGACACTAGAAGGGAAGAAAAAAGACGCATGAGGTGCCCCGCTGCCTCTGTTCCCCCACCTGCTGGACCCCTTCACCCTAATTTCTTGTCCCTGAGGCTACCCTTCTTAGGGCCCAGAGCTGGCGCAAGTCCAGCACACAGTAGGTACTCCATTTCCCTGGGAAGGGAGCAGACTCTGTCCTCTGTCCTGGACGTACTTCCCGGGACCTGTCTGCCCAGCTGTGCACAGACAGGCTCGTGGGCTAAGCTGGGCGTCTGAGGCAGGGAGCCCAGTCCCACGCCCCAGCTCCATCTGTGGGCCAGTTGCTGCTGAGCGAATCATGCTCAGGGTGTTCTGGTAGAGGTCACGTCCCTCAACTGGTGAACCTCTGCACACGGGCCACTCACTGTCCCCAGGGAGCTCAGCTCTCCACCCTCCCTGGAGGACCACCCTCACTAGGCCAGGCCTAGCCACCACCCGGCTTCCTGCCAGGCAGCAGCAGCAGTCCCACCTCGGTGCACACTGGCCAGCGGCCTCTCCTCTGCTCGCCTGTTCTAGTCCTTCCCATGAGCTAACCTGCTTCACAGCCCGGAGGCCGGGACAGGCCAAAGCCCTGTGGAAGGTCAGCATGAACCAAGGTTCCAGAAAGTGTCAAGGACGGGGGTGGAGGGCTGATTTCCCAGAAGAAGTCAATCCCCAGCCAGGAATGAGCCCTGAGCCCCGTTGGGAACCTGCAGGACTGGATGTTTAGCGCTCCCTCGAGGACCCTTGTTTTTCGGGGGCTACCAGGTGCCATCTGCCGTCCCCCCGCACCCCAGGGCCATGTGCTTCCGGGCCTGGCTGTGCTGGCTGGCTTGTGGCAGGTCCCACTCACCTAAGCAAACACTGGTCCAGCGATGGCTCTCCTCACTTCCCGAGGTGGTCAAATGGCACGCTTGTCTTCGCAGGGGGTGGGGTAAGAGCAGAGAGAGGTGGGTGAGCTTCAAGGCCAGGACCTAAGTCTCCCTGCTGTGCAGCTCAGCCCCACCCCTGGTAAGCCCCTGGAATCAAGGGAAGGGGTGATCCCAGAGACCCTAGGAGGTCCTCGTTTGTAGACAGAGTTGGGGGGGCAGGGCACAGAGGCACACAATGTGACTGCTTTAGGCCACACCCAAGTTGGTGGGCCAAGGAGGGGTTCACTCTCAGGGCCAAGTCCACTAAGGCTCCCACTCCCCTCCAGCTGGACACAGTCCCTCCCTCCGACCTCTCCTAGTCCAAATATGACCTTAAGAGAAGCTACCAGGGGCTGGGGCTACAGCTCAGTTGGTGGAGTGCTTGCCTTGCACGCACAAGCCCGTGGGTTCGATCCCCAGAACCGAAAAGAGAAGCCACCAGATAGAAGCTCACCTGTCCCTCTATCCCATGCTCTTGCCAAAGCTAGTGAGGACCACTGGGGGCTTCCTGATGGCAGGGGCTGTGACCATCTTGTCTTTGAGGCCCTGATGCCCACCAAGATGGGCACCCAGCAGCAAGGGTCAGACCCCAGAACTGCCACTGGCTGGGGCACATTGTTCTGAACCTCAGTCTCTGGCTTTGCTCAGTGAGGGGGGCTAATGAACCTCAGGGAAGTAAAGGGTCAAGTCCTAGCCCAGGCCAGGGGTTTGCTCTGGGGTTACCCAAGTCAAGGGGAGAAGAGAGCAGAGCCAGAGGCCTGACCTGCACGGGGATCTCTGGCTCTGCCGTGGCCGCTTGCTAACCTGTGAGGCTGAAATCCGGGAGACCTCCTGTCGCCCAGTGAGGTCTGAGGACGAGACGTTGGCGGGCGCGCCCCTGTGCAGCCGCATGCTCACCTTCCTCTCCCGGTCCACCCGTGAGATCGCTCTGGGAGAAGTATTGCCTGGAGGGCGAGGAGGGAGCAGCCCTCAGCTGGGGACAGAAGCAGGACCCCAGCCCTCTGGCCCATCCCGAAGCTCACAGCCCCAGGCCCCTACTAACCAGCTTGCTGGATGCGGGAGGCGGGGGTGGAGGCCACAGGCTCGGCAGCACTGCGGAGCCGGTTGGCAGTGGCCCCCGTGGGTGGGCCAGGGGGAAGGGCCCGGGTTGTGGACCCCCGCAGCTGCCCCATCCTCTCCTCGCGTTCGTGCTCTCTCCGCTCTCGGTCCACATCCTCGGGGTTCCGGGCTGCACCCTGCAGGGACGGGAGATGGCATGCTGGTCAGCCCCGAGACCTGGGTGCTCTGTGCCCAGCACCTTTGCAGGACAGAGGGGAAGCGAGTTGGGGGCATCTCACAAACCCTCTGGCCCAGCCTCCTTCCCAGAGTGGGAATCCTTGATCTCAGAGGCTTGGAAATGACCCTGGGTCACAGAGAGGAGAAACAGCCACGCAACACTCAGAGGAAGGACAGACAGCACCGAGAAGCAGGGGAGCTCAGGCTGCACTGGATCCCGGAGGAGTGGCTAACACTCCACAGTGACCAAAGGCAACCCTTGGTCTCCCAACCTGGCCCCCTCCATGTACCAAGAGCCGTTGGCCCCTCAGGGTTTCCAAACCATGCAGGGAAGGAGTTCAGAGGCCCACCTAGCAGAAGGCAGGGAACGTCAAGGGGACAGGAGTCGCAAGGCTCAGGGAAGGCAGGGCCAGGACTTGGCCAGGGGACCTGGTGCCCAGCCTTGAACTGCCTGCCGCAGGATGGGAGCTCAGGGGAGCAGGGAAGCAGCCGGGCTAGCTGCCCGGTGACAGACAAGGCTGGAGAAAGGTGCCCGGTGCCCCTTGGGGCCCTGCCCTCTAGCCACTGCTACCCCCACAGGAGGAAGTGAAAGGTCCAGAGAGGAAGTGGTGCGGGAGCAGGGCCTGGCCGTGTTACCTAGTTGGTCCCGGGGCCGTCCACAGGGAAGGGCAGGGGGCTGGCGTGAGGGGGGCCGCATCTGTGGAGGAGAGAGCTGCGGGCTGAGCAGTGGGCCTTACACTGGCTGGGGAATTAGCTGAGGGGCCCTGTGCCCTGGGGAAGTGGAGCAGACCTGCCTTTGGGCACCTCTGGGAGCAGCTGGGATCAGAATGATCTCGAGTCCTAGCAAGGAGCCAAGCTAGGCTAGTCCTAGCCCCACTGCTGGGCAGAGGTGCCCCGGGCCTTATCCTTGTCTGACCTGGCCACAAAGCCTCACGACCTGTCTGGGGTCACACAGCCAGAACAGAGCTGGGGACCTAGTCCTACCATGCACCTCAAGAGGACTATTCAAGGCCTGACCCAGCAAAACACCCCTCACTCCTCCCACTAAAAGCCCACCAGGCAGGCCTAGGCCCACCAGGGCCCCACCCACTCAGCCCCAGGCTGGCACTGGGCAGGAGCCACAGCCCAGCCTGAGAAACCAGAGCCGCAGCACGGCTCGACTCCTATGACAGGGATGGCCTCACTCCCGAGGGAACCAGGCTCCGGGAGGCTGAATGATGCGCTCGGGTGCCCGCCCAGCCCTGGAGCCAGCAGCTGAGGAGATGGAACCCACCTGCGGCAGCCCCACAGCTCAGGCCACCAGCAGTCCACGCGCAGGAGAAAGAACTACTTATGCCCTGGCTGCTATCCAACCCAAATAACCCTCAAGAAATGCGCACCAAGGAGCTTTTCTGGCCTTTATTTGCCCATAAGAAAACATAAAACTGTCAACATCCGAGCATCCGCCCCTGCTGCGTGGACGTCTGTCCTGGGCTGTGTGAAACTTCCTCCTGTCAGTGGCTTGTCCTGAGAACACGTGCTGACTGCATCCCAGGGTTCAGGAGTCCAGGAATTCCAATGCCCTCATGCCGAGGAACACAGATAGGCTCCTCCAGGGTCAAGGTCAAGATCATGGGAGAGTCACTGCCCATGGTGCCCAGCATGGAGTCCTGCCAGCTGGTATGGCTTCCTGCAAGGTATGTGGGGGTCTTGGTCTTGGGGGAAGGCTGTGGATGGTCCCCACTGCACATCATGTGGCTGCTCCTGCCTGGGGCTCACGCGGAGGTGATGGTGCAGACGTCGGTGATGGATGAGACTATCAGTGGCCCTGCCTAGCTTCGGACTCCAGAACCTGACTCAAAGGGGACCCCAGGAATGGAGTCAGATGCCAGCAAGGGGGAGGAGTGCCTGGCCCAGCTGGAGAAGACATCTTGTTGCTGGTCAGTCCCACAAGGGGAACTGTCAAGGAGCCATCTAGAACAGCGTTGTCCACAGAACTTCCCAGGACGACAGAGATGCTCACAACTGTCTCATTAGATGCAGCAGCCACTACCTCGTGGCTCCCAAGAGCTTGGAATGTGGCGAATGTGGCCGAGGAAATGCATTTTCCATTTTGATCAACTCTAATTAAACTCTCCATGTAGCCAGCAGTTACGGAAGTAGACGTCAGAGTCCAAGAGAATGCAAAGCCCTTTCTTAGAGCTGGGCTGAGCCAAAGAACTAAGTCCATCACAGAACCAGACTCGGGGACGACTTCCTATAGGGCAAGGGCCTGGTGTCCGAGGCCCTGAAACGCACTGCAGGAGGAAGGGGTGCCGGGTGCCCAGGCACTCAGTCATGCTCTAAGCTGGAAGGAACCCAATGCCCACCTCCCTCTCTGCCCTCACAGAGGAGGGCAATACAGCCTTCTCCTCAAAGCCCTGACCTGCGAGATGGCCATCTTCTGCCTGTTCTGCCTGAGACCCAAGGAGAAGAGAAACCCAGGACCAACATGCCAACCTCAGCATTCAGAAGGACCCGGCCTTGGCCCTTGGCATCTGGCGGAGCACCGAGGGACACGATGTAAAAGAAGCAAACCAGGACGAAGGCAGGAGGCATTTAATGAGTTCAGTTTCGACACAGAGGCCACCCACGGGGCCTGGGCCTGGTCTTGGTCCAGGGCCTAACAGGCCCCAGGCAGGGCCACAGTTTTCTTCGGGCTCGTCCTGGCCTCAGGCAGCTGGTTCATTCCTGAGGATCCCAAGTAAGGCCTTTTCCAATACTCTTCACCACAGGGCCACCTCAGGAATGGGTGCCCCCCATTCCTCATGCCTGGCCCTATCAGGCTCAGGCACATTGGTGATATCAGAACTGGGGCCCTGGAGTCCAGACCACAGGCCAGTAGTTTTGAGGGGGCATCTCCTCCACCTCCTCCACAGGCCTATCTGGGGGGCCTTGGGTGCCCAGGATCGCCGGGCACCTGGAAGGGACAGAGAGGGCACAGCTGAGTCCAGCCTTGGTGCTTGCTGGCCAAGTGGCAACTCTTGGAAGAGCCAGGCCTTGGAGGTCCTTACCAGTATGTGGATGGATACGGGGGCCCGGCATAGGGCCAGGGGCGGGGGCGGGGTGCTGCAATAGCTTCGCTGTCCCGGGGCTGAGCCTGGCTCGAAGAAGCCCCCTTTTCCAGAAGAGATGTGAAACAAGACACACGATTTCACGGACTCCAGAGCTCCAGGCACGGCCGGCGACCACTTCTCCCCACCCCACCCCCAGGACCCTTAAAAGAGGGAGACAGAACAACTGCCTAGCAAGACCCAGGGTCCCATGACCAGGAAGAGAGAAGCCACTCTGAATGGATCCAGGCTGGCTAGGGGGGCCTCGGTGAAGGCGGTCACCCAGGACGTGCAGAACAAGAGGAGCAAGATGGAGCAGGCCACAAGCAGGGCAGCGGGAGGGCCCAGCAGAGCCATCCACGCCCTGCCCTGGGCCCCCAGGACAGACTGGAGGCTGAGCCAGGTCCTCCCAAGCCTGCCCACGCCCTGCCCACTGTGGCAGCGCATGCTGTCCACACTAATGTGGCTGGATAGGGGTGGCTCTGGGACCCTGGCGAGGTCACTTGTGCTGTCCAGCTCATAACTCCCATCTGTAGGGAGCCCTGCTCCCCACCAGGCCATTCTGGCCTTATGAGGCAAGGCCTTCCCCATCCAGTCCCCCAAGCCCGCCTTGGCCTCCGGGTGACTCACGAATTTGAGCATGTTCCAGTCGAAGACGTAGTCGTAGGAAAAGCCCTGCCGGTGGAAGAGGTTGCGGAAGAGCTGGCGCAGGTAGGAGTAGTCGGGCTTGTCATCGAACCGCAGGGAGCGGCAGAAGTTGAGGTATGTGGAGAACTCGGCTGGGGGGTGACAGGGAACAGAGGAGGTCACTGTGAGGCCCATGATCCCAGGTCCCTGGCAGCCACCATTTCCCAAGCCACCCACTGTCCCTCTGAACAGTTTCAACCTAAGAGGGGGCAGGATGCAGAACAGAACCACAGGCCTCCCTACGCTACTAGTGCTCGGGCCCCGTGAGCACAGCCTCTTCTCGGAGCTGCTCCGGGGAATGTGGCCCACAGCTCTGCACCTGCTCCCGGCACTCCAGGCTCACAGAGACCCAGGCCCACAGCAGCCATAGCTCAAAGGGCGGCCAAGGGCCCTGTAGTGGACACACTCCCGACATGATCTAAGCAACAGCAGGCAAAAAGCCACTTCCTCCTCTAACAACTTGGGCCAGGAGAGGGCTCTAGGTGGCAAGGCACGAGTGTGGAAGGGGACACCCAGTCTGCGACACAGGCTGGGGCTCCAGGCCTCCCACATGCCGTGCAGCCACAGAGCCCCCGGGTAGTCCTCTTGCGCCCGTCCTCCCCACCTGGTACTCACAGGGGTACCCTTTGCAGAGGACCTCAATGGGCGTTGACATCTTCTTCTCGCTGATCCGCTCATACTTCTGGCGCTTGGTGGCTGCTTTGAGACCCTGCCAGGGCAGGGAGCCCAGGTTGAAGTACATGAGCACGTAGCCCAGACTCTCCAGGTCATCGCGACGGCTTTGCTCTGCAGAGTCAGAGGCAAGGTGAGGGGCAGGGTCCACACAGGCCCCGAGCTCCTCCTCAGGTCACATTCTTTACTGCATATCTGGCAGCAGACAGCCGTCTCCAGCGCCCGCTGGCTCACGTTCTGCAAGAGGACCCGAGGCAGCACCTTCCCGCCTCAGTCTGGGTCCAGCTTCTCAGCTCAGGGGTTATTTCATTCAGCAGCTCTGAGTGGGCACCCGCCCCTGCCCACCCCACAGAAGCAGCACAAGCTGTGGCACGAGGCGGGCTGAGGTCAAATCCAGTCCCAGCACTCACGAGGCCGTGTGCCCTGGAGCAGCCCATGTTAAACTGGCCGGAGCTTCCCAGAGGAACAGTTGGGGAGTATGGCCCCCCCACTCAGTGGGGTTGCCAGGAGGCCAAGGCAGGGTGTGAAGGGGTGGCCAGCACACACAACTCTACTTATGAAGGGAAGATGTGGACACTGGGTCCAGGCCTTAGGGCAGACTCGGGTAGAGATGCTCAGTGGGCCAAACCAGAAAAAGTACCCAGGGGCCTCCGACTGAGGTGGGGGGAGCCAGGCAGCCGGTGGCCCGAGGCGCCCTTGTCCGGGAGCTCACTCACCGATGCCCAGGTGCGTGTTAATGGAGGCGTAGCGGGCCGTGCCAGTCAGGTTCTTGTTTTCCCGGTAGGGGATGTGCTGGTGGGTGCGGGCATCCCGGTACTTCTTGGCCAGGCCAAAATCAATGATGTACACCAAGTTGCCTTTCTTCCCCAGGCCCATGAGGAAGTTGTCGGGCTTGACGTCGCGGTGGATGAAGTTCTTGGAGTGGATGTACTCGATGCGGCTGATCTGGGGGGTTAGCCGGGGTGGGGGTGGGGGGTCAGTGGAGGGGCCGCTGCCACATGCCTCAGGCCAGGCCCCAGAAAAGCAAAGATGTCAAATGCACCCAGGGTCCCTGCCCTGGCCAGGGAGAAAGGTTTGTCCCCAACTATGAAGGATGGCTTCAAGGCACAGGCCAAGGAAGGCGGCTGGGAGACAGTGACATCTGATGTGGCGGCAGGGAGTGGGAGCCAGGAGGAAAGGTCAGGGCAAGACCCAGGAAGGAGGGTGCGGGGGAAGGACCATGGGCCACCACAGTGGCCTGCCGGCTGGCTCCAGTGCCACGGGGCCCAGAGGCAAGCAACCTGGGGGAGGGGCAGGTGGGAGCACCGAGGAGGCCTAAACCCGGCAGAGGCGTGAGATGGCGCACCCAAGTCCTGACTCCACTTGGCTTCCAAAGGACGCCAGAGTCAGGGTGTGACTTTTTTTTGGGCGGGTGGGGGTACTGACAATTTAACCCAGGGATAGTTTACCACAGAGCCACACCCTTGGCCCTTTTTATTTTATTTTTTATTTTTGATGGTGCTGGGGATTGAACCCAGGGCCTTATGCATGCAAGATAAGCACTCTACCAGCTGAGCTATATCCCCACAGCCCTATTTTTTTTTTTAATGTTGATGGACCTTTATTTTATCCATTTGTTTATATGCGGTTCTGAGGATCAAACCCAGTGCCTTGTACGTGCTGGCCAAGTGCTCTCCCCCTGAGCCACAACCCCAGTGCCCCCAGCCCTATTTTTTTATTTTGAGACAGAGTCTCACTAAGTTGCTTAGGGACTTGCTAGTTGCTGAGGATGGCCTTGAACTTGTGATCCTCCTGTCTCAAGCCCCCTGAGCTGCTGGGATTATAGGTGTGTGCCCCCATATCTGGCCCTTTAAGAATTTCCAAAAACTCAAATTAAGATCCACGCACAGAACAGGTCTTCTGGCATGTCATGGGCAGCTCTGGGCCTCCGGCATGACAAAATATCTCCAGGAGCTTTACTGAATTTCACCCTGTGAGAATCTCGCAATCCTCCTCTGCGCACCCACAGCCTAAAATTGGAGTGTGCTTGCGACAAGACAAGATCTGCATGGTCCCCACTAGGTTCAAAGTTCGATTCTTTCTTCCCAGAACTGGGGACTGAACTCAGGGGCTTACACATGCTAAACCACACGCTACACTGACTTTCACCCCCAGCCTTTTTCGATTTTTTGGAGACAGGGTCTTGCTTGCTAAGTTGCCCACATTGGTCTTGACTTGCAGTCCTCCTGCCTCTGCCTCCTGAGTAGCTGGCTGTGCATTTTATATTTTTAAAAAGCTCTCCTCTGTATGGAAAGGGCCTAAGGATCTACACCTTCTCTGGCCTAGGCCCTGTGTGGCTTCCCACTTAATCCTAGCACCCCAGGGAAGGGGAGACTGAGAGCAGGTGACGGGGGCTCAGAGGGGCTCAGCAAATCAGCTCGGGTTCCCACACTGGGACAGGACACAATCTGCGTGATCACCACAGGGCAGAACCGAGGGCCCTCCCCAGACCCTGACCTGGCAGCCTGGTGCCTGGAATCTGCATTTAAACAAATGTCCAGGACGCTGAGGCCAGCATTAAGGTTCCTGGCCCAGGAAACAGGTGTGTCTTGTCCCTGTCCCTGCCCCCTCCCCTACTTTCCTCTGGAGGCAGGATGCAGGGTTAGTATCCATGGCCACTAGCAAGATGGGGAAGTGGACGCTGCAGAGCAGCTGGGCAGGCCACCTTGACGGTGCGCAGCGGGACTCACCATCTGGTCCGCCAGGAGCAACACCGTCTTGAGGCTGAACTTGCGGGAGCAGAAGTTGAAGAGGTCCTCCAGGCTGGGCCCCAGTAGTTCCATGACCATCACGTTGTAGTCGCCCTCCGCCCCGCACCACTTGATGGACGGGATCCCCACTGGGGCGGGGCGACAGGGCTGTCAGGGCGGTCCCTCCCCACCCGCGCCACCGGCCCACAGCAGCCCTCGCCTCACCTCCTCCCTGCATCATCTTGTAGAACTTGCTCTCGATGTGCAGCTGCGGGTGCTTCGTCTTCACACACTCGAGCTTGATGGCCACCTCTTCACCAGAGGCGATGTTGGCACCTGCCCAGGGTGGGGGGCAAAGGCCCAGGTGACTCCCAGCCAGCCAGGTGGTTGCCACCCAGCATTTGAGGCTGCTGTGGCTCAGGGTGGGGCCAACTGGGCATCTGCCTCTCAGGGACAGAGAGGTGGCCAGGAGGCTTCCCGAGGGAGAGTGAGCAGTACCATGTGCCACGGGAGGAGGCAAGACGCCCCCAGCTGCTCAGAGAACCCCAGGTCAGGGCTGCGAGAGGGCCTGATGGGGGAGGGGACACACAAATGGTGCCCAGACCACAGAAGGGGTGGAACTTAACCCCAGAGACAGGCTGGCCAGTTGGGTGTGGCGGGCTGAGGTGTGTGTGGAGGGACCAGAAGCCCAGAGGGGTGGGCACTGTGCCCTCCTGACACCCTGAGCTGCAGAAGGTACTGACCAGCACCTGCCTGCCCACCAAAGCTGCCCCCCTCAAAGGCAGCCCACACATTCTGTCCCAGGACGTCCCCTCCTCTGTCATCGGAGTATCATTCCCCCTGCACAGATGAGAAGGCTGAGAGCCACTCAAGGTCATTCGGCTGGCAACTGGGGGACTGGGGAGCGAAACCTACGTGGGCGCGGTAGCCCCTGCCTGCATTCCCTTGGGAGGCTGAGGCAGGAGAGTCGCAAGTTCAAGACCAGCCTGGGCTTGGCAGGCTCTTGGTTTAGCAGACGGGCTCATTCAGCAAGACGCTGCCTCTACACTTAAGAAATAATAAATACACAAGGGGCTGGGGTGCAGCTCAGGGGCGCCACAGCCCTGGGGTCAACCCCCAGCTCTGCTGGCTTCGACGTCTAGGTGTAGACAGGGTCCTGCCTGCAACCCCTGTGTCCCCTTCTTACTGCAGCCTTGAGGGGTACGCGTGGCCTAAGAAACACCCTAAACACACCAAGGCCCGGCTCGCAGCCTGGGCCCGCCCCAGGGCTCGAGAAGCCACCAGAAAGACCAAATCCAGATAGAGCCTTGCGTCAGTGTCTCCAGCTGCAGTGGAGGCTGAGCTGCAGTGGAGGCTGAGCTGCAGTGGAGGCTGAGCTGCAGGGCTGGGGCCACCTGCAGGGCAGTGAGTTCCCCTCAGGGGCCAGCAGCGCCTCCAGCTCCAGACACAGAGCAGAGTCACACCGCACCCAACAGGAAGCCAGGGCTCAAACACAGAACATCCCACGGGGCAGGATCCCATGGGCACCTCAAACCAGGGGAAGCACGGGACCAGTCAAGGAACACCCCGGCCACGGCGGACACCCCAACCAGGGGATCCAAGTGCAGCGAAAGCGTGCAGGAGGAAGGGGAACGAGAAAAGTACAGCCACTCTGCACATGTCCAGGAGAGGAAGCAGTCACCCTCGACCAGCAGCCCCACTCCTGAGCACAAGCCCTAGGGGACACCTGCGGAAAGGACAAGGATGTGCACTGGAACTAACAGCCCTGATGCCCAGCAGCTGAGTCGCTGACAGCAATGTGGTCACATAAGGAGTCCCAGAGATGGTGATACTTTTAAACCGGGCAACCAGGCCACTCCCGGCTCCTCAACACTGGGCCAAAGACAGCAGGCCAGAGCAGCCACCACAATAGCCAAAAAGTGGAAATGACCCAATGGCCCAGAGCCAATGAATGGAGACAGAGAGTGGTCCATATACATGTGGAATATTATTCACCCATGAAAAGGAGCGGAGTACTGGTAACACATACCTCAACACAGGTGAACCTTGAAAGAAAACATTCTGCCCAGCCGAAGGAGCCGTACACAAAAGAAAATGTGCTTCTATTGTATTATATTCATTATATGAAATGTCCGTATCCATAGAGATGAAAACAGATTAGTAGACACCAGGGTGGGGAGTGGTTGCTTAACAGGCATGGGGATTTCTTCTGGGACGTGCTTTGAGACTAGATGGGGTGGTGGCTGCACAAAGTTTTAGTACACCACTGTACTGCACATTTATTTATTTGGTACTGGGGATTGAACTGGGGGTGTTCTACCACTGAACCACATCCCCAACCCTTTTTTATTTTGAGACAGGGTCTAAGTTGCTAAAGCTGGCCTCAAACTTGCAATCCTCCTGCCTCAGCCTCCCAGCTGCTGGGATTACAGGCATGTGCCATCTCGCCTGACTTGAACTGTACACTTTAAAATGCCTGATCTTATGCTATGTGGATTTCACCTCAATTTTTAAAAGAGGGAGGAAAAGCAAGTGACAGATGAAAGTACAGTTCTATTTGTCTCAATTTCAAAGCTCTGTAAAGATATAGTTTAAGGATACAAACATGTGATAAAACCTCAATGAAAGGGAATAATTTAAAATGTCAACTAGTGGTTATCTCTGTGAGGGGAGTCAGATGACAGGACAGGCAGGGGCACTGAGGGGCCTTGAAAGGGACAAGAATGGCCTTCTCTTTCAACTGCACAGTTCCCAGGGAAGGGTCCCATATAACCTTAGGGTTAGGCAAGGCTTAAAAAGACCCCCCTGTAGGGCAAAGATGCCAGACGTGGTTCAGTGCCTGGGGTTTAATCCCCAGCACCGCCCAAAACAGCAGCAAGCCCACCAGAAATGAAGCAGAAAGAAAAACTACTCAATTCTTATCACAGACAAAAAGCTGACAGCTAACAGACTCCTACAAATCAGTAGGAAAAAGAAGCAGGAAATAGGGCAAAGACCCTGAAGCGCCTTCCCAGAGGAAGACCAACTTCGAAGGGCTCGCTCAGCAAAGGCCTCGACTTCTCTGTAAGAGAAATGCAAACTACAGTGACCCCCAAAGACCACTTCTCGGCTAGGACCGTCAAAGGTCCTCAGTGAGATAGCGCAGTTTGCTGGCAAGGCTCGCAACAGGTGGCTCCTCCCCAGGTGGCCAGCGTGAGACAGTCCAGCAGCACCTGCACATCACCCCTGCACTGTGCAAGCCGAGGCCTGGACAAGGCTGTCTGCTGCAGGCTGTTTGCAGCAGCAAAAGCTTGGAAATGACCCAAATGTCCATCACTGGGGAACTGGTTGAGAAAGAATAGCCCATCCACAGGCCAGAACACAATGGAGGGAGAATGAGGAGGCTCTCTGTGCAGGAGAGGAAGATCTCCAAGGCAGGAAGCGAAGGGCCAAGGACTGAACCACACTGTCCTCATCTTCCAGCTGCGGAGCAAGCTGGGGAAGCGGCATCTGCCTTTGGTAGTATCCACACAGAGCAATGTGGAAAAGAAACAGGAGGAAGCAGCCAGGCGGCCAGGGCGCTTGCTGGATACTTTGTTAAATCCAACTCTTCCACCAGGAACTGTAACTGCACAGAGTAACAACGCACCCCTCCAACTGGCCAACTCCTGGGTTTCTGGTATATTCCCAAGGATGTACGAGCAAGGGTAGAATGTTTCCATCACCCCCAAGACATGGGTACCCTTTAGAAGTGAGTACCACCCTCCTCAGCCTCTGTCCCTGGCCACCACTAATCTACTTTGTCTCTGGATTTGCCTGTTCTGGACATTTCACATAAACAGAATCATATATGATCATTTGTTGACCTTCTTCTTCTTCTTTTTGGGGGGTCCTGGGAGTTGAATCCAGGTGTACTTAACCACTGAGCAACATCCCCAGCCTTTTTTTTGGGTACTGGGGTTTGAACTCAGGGGCACTCAAAGCTGAGCCACATCCCCAGCCCTGTTTTGTATTTTATTTAGAGACAGGGTCTCATTGAGTTGCTTAGGGCCTCGCCATTGCTGAGGCTGGCTTTGAACTCCCGATCCTCCTATCTCAGCCAGCTGCTGGGATTACAGGCATGCGCCACTGCGCCCAGCTATGCATTTTATTTTGAGACAAGGTCTCATCAAGTTGCTTAGGGCCTCATTAAATTGCTGAGGCTGGCTTTGAACTTGCCATCCTCCTGCCTCAGCCTCCTGAGCTGTATGATCTGATTCTTTGACTTAACAGTTTAGTGTTTGGATGTTAGTTCTATAGATATATATTCTGATTTCTGAGCCACACAAATTAAGAAGAGGTGACTAAGCAATGGGAGATAGCAAACTGTAAAGTGCTTCTGACACATTGGCATTCACTGCTTGGTAGAGTCCACAGGTCTCAGGGTACAGTGAAGACGTGGCATGGGAGGGGAGCCAGGGCATCCTCGATCCGATGCCCTGCCCCTTCTCACCACAGGTGCATGAGGCAGCAGAGCGCAGCAGGTATTCTCCATGCCAAGCCGCTGACCCCTGTCTCGACTCCCCACCTCCTAGCCAAGGCCTGGGTGAGTCACCTCGCACTCTGTGCCCAGGTGCCTCACCTGCTATGCTCCTGGGCTGCCCCAGGCACAGAACTCAGGAGTGGGCTCTGGCACGCACAGGCACAGCTCTACCGATGTGAAGGCTGCCAAGGAGGGGCGAGGGCAGCCCTAGGGAGCAAAGGCGCTCCTCCCCGGGCAGCGCGAGAGCTCCCAGCACAGGAGCAGGACTGAGCCAGGCACAGGCCAGCGGGGGGCATGCAGCCAACTCTGAGTGCTTTGGTACAGCAGGACCCCAGACATTGAAGGAGAGGGTGGAAAAGGAGGGCAGCGCCAGGATCTGAAGGTCTCGAGAGGCCAGATGAGAGTGTGGCCTTCCCTGAGGGCTCAGCCAGGCACGAGGTTGGGGACCTCACTGATCCTGATCCTGACACTTGAGGCCAGAGAAGCCCCTGTGTGGGAGCTCCCTGCCGGGTGTTGGCAGTGCCTGACCTCTACCCACCTCCTCCCAAGCTGAAGTAACTAACCGTGTTCCAAGACCTTGCCAAATGTCCTATGGGGGGCAAAAGTCAGCACCCATTAAGATTTACTGGTGTACCAGAAAGGGCTGGAGGGGACCCGAGGGGTCAGGAGACCCAGGAGGTGGCCACTGCGGCTGTCCAGGCAGGAGCTGCTGGGGGCCTTGCCCAGGCAGGGTGCAGATGTGGATGATGCCCGAGGCAGGCCTTGGCCAGAGACTGCAGCAGCTGCATGTGGGCGGGGTGTGGGGGGTGGCACACAGGAGGGGCACTTCATCCCCCAGCCCTGGCGCCATCCTGCCAGAGCTACTGCTCACATCTCTATCTGACATAATGAAAACCTCAAACTCCAAAGGTCGAGTGACCATATGCCACACAACTTACCAAGGACAGGGACTCAAGCTGTTGGGCAAAGCCTCTGGCCCCCAGAGTGCTGGAAACCTTCTGTCGCAGTGTTCTCCCCGACTGCCAGCCCTCTGTCGCCTCAGATCTCACTGAGGCTGCCAGATCGCCCTCCTTTCTCACAGCCACTAGGCTGAGCAGCAGAGAGGAAAAGTGCCTGGCCCATGAGGGACAGGACCCGCTGGGGCAGAGCAGGGCTTGAAGTAGCGCTCCCAGGGCCCCTGCTCTCTCTCCATTCCACTTCCCTGTCATCCGGATCACCCAATTCCAGACAGGTACTGAGCCCTGACCAGGAGCCCAGGCCCGTGCAGGGGCTCTGCTCACCCTCGACGGCTGCAGTAAAGCATAACTGGCGGCGAGAACCGCGCGGGGCGGGGCCCATGGAGGCAGATGGCCACGGCTTCCTGGCAGACGCTGCTTTGGGAGGTGAGTGGTCTAGGAATGGTGGAGAGGGCCTAGGTGGAAAGGCTTGGAAGCCAGAGAAATGGCCCCATTTCAAGTGCAGAATGTGGCCCATTGGTTATATAGCAGCCACATGAGGGGCCTGGTGGGGACAGGAGTAACCAGCCTCACATGGGGCTCACAACAGACGCCATCAGGGACCCATGGGTGCAGGGAGGGGTTGAACCCACCTGCCCAGCAACAGCAGCAGTAGCAACCTTTGCACCCGGTGTCAGAGGCTGGAGTGTCCCCCTTGACAACCTCCCCCAGAACCACCTGAAGAGCTGAGGATAGGGATTCCTTTTTGTGTGTGCATGCAGGGGGACTGGGGACTGAAACCAGGGCACTCTACACTGAGTGACACCTCCAGTCCTTTTAAAAACATTTATGAGGCAGGGGCTCACGATGCTGCCCAGGCTGGCTTCAAACCTGTGATCCTCCTTTCTCAGTCTCTCAGGGCACGGGGACTGCAGGCATATGCCACCACCCCAGGCTAGGGCAGCGTTTCTAAGCAGTCTAGAGTTGCCCAAGATGCACAGTCAGTGGGCAGGCCCATGGCAAGCCGCCTCTGGACCTGTGCGGCCAACTCGAGCCCCTTAACAAAGTGGGTGCACTCTCCTGGCCACCCCTCAACAACAAGGGCTGGGAGCCCTGGAGAGCAGCTGTGGGGCTCGCAGTCGCACCCCTAACGAGGCCATCAGTGTTTGATCCTGGAAAGCAGCTTGGAAGCCGTGTCCAGCCCCACCTGGAGAGGCCATCTGGAGTCAGGCCCTGGCCCTGGCACTGGTAATGAGACAGTGGCCAGAGCTCTGAACAAAGAGAGCCAGCAAGGCCGGCCGGGGGACCCACAATCCCTGTTGTCTCCAGGCCAGCAGGACACCGGCCTAGGGTGGTGCCAATGGGAGGGCACCTCAGGGTAGAGGCCCCACACCCTCGCACCACTGGAGTCTGGATGGTGGCGCAAACTGGCTCCCTGACCCCCAGGCCCAAGAGGACCCAGATCCTTGGAGAGCAATGACTCCCAACTCAGCCCAGGGGCGGGACACGGTATGGAACCTGCTGGGCTCAGCAAGCAGGTGCTTTCCACACCAGGTCCTCAAACTCCTCACAACCCCACCTCCACCCTGAGAAGCCCGTTGGGTGCAGTGGCACAGCCTGCCATCCCAGGACTCTGGAGGCTAAGGCAGGAGGATTCCAAGTGAGAGGCAACTTAGTGAGACCCGGTCTCAAAATTTTAAAAAGGGCGAGGGATGTAGCTGGGTGGTAGAACACCCCTGGTCCACTACCCAGGGCTGCAGACAGAGAAAGGAAAGTTAAGAAAACTGACTGCCGCCGTAGAACTGTCATCTACACACAACTTTAAAAAAAATGGAGAAGTCAAGGATGGCAGAAGTCACCCCTTGCTCAGGGTGTACAGCTAGAAAAGGAAACACGGGTATCCAAACCCAGGCCAAACGGACTCCACAGCTGGCCGAAGAGGGGCGAATCTGGACCTTTTTACAATAAATGAGATGACTGTGGAGAAACCGGAAGACCTGCCTTCAGGGAGACGGTGGCTTTTCTCAGTGATCTGGGGAGGCCCCTCCCTCCAGAGGCTCCCACTTCCGTCTGCAGAAAGAGGGCCTGAAGGGTGCTGCCTAGGAGCGGGTGCTGCCTAGGAGCGGGTGCCTGCTGTGCCAAGAGCCAGGTCTGTGCCCTGCAGTCCCGAGTGGCGAGAACGTCCTTCCCCCACCTGTCCATCTTCCCAAACAGGTGATGGGGACCTCCACCACACAGACAAGACTGCAGCTCAGCAAACCAGGAAGAGACTGGGACCAAAGCTGGTGCAGTCCCCAAATCCCAGGCTTTTCCAATCCTGCCATGAAGCTCTTGCACACCCTGGTCCCTGTTTTAGCACTTGTCCACTTGACAGTCACTGGACACCTACTGGGGCAAGCCACACGCTGGGCCCAGGAGAGGGTGGGCAAACTCAACCCTACGCTTGCCTCCCAGGAGCTCAGAGATGCAGCAAAACCTTGATTTAAGTAAGTTTTGAGACAGGGTCTCACTACGTTGCCCAGGAAAACCTTGAATCCCTGGGCTTGAGTGTGGCTCCCACCTGGCCTCCCAAGGACTGGGACTGCGCACCACTGCGCAGCTGGAGAAGATCTTTAAACCAGCTGCAGCCACACAGGCCTGCTTCCTGTTCTGAGCCCCAGCATTGTGGGTCACAACCTGCCAAGCACTGGGCAGGAGCTGCCCACCAGGCCAGCACTCCATGGCCCACAGGGCACTTTCCCATGGTCGCTTCATCTGTACCTCCACCCTGAGGTACAGGGGGGCTGACTTCACAGGTGGGGACCCTGAGATCACAGGACAGCCACACAGAGTGCGGCCTAGAACACAGGCTGCCTGTCCTCGGCACCCACTCAGGACCGTGTGGGGTAAAGGCCACCTTCTCCAGTTTCCTGGGGCAACCTTGGGTGGTCACCCTGACTATGCTGCGCCTCATCTTCACCAGCAGCATCCCGAGGGGCTCCATGAGGGAGGTAACGCTGGAAAGGGCACCCAGGTGAGTGTTCACAGACCTCGTGTGCCCCGCCCCACACCTGAGAGCCCCAGCCCCCCGGGCAGCAGATCTCCTCTGTGGGGACAGGGCCCTGACCGCTGGTGAAGAGGAACCCTCAAGGTCTGAGTTGGTGCCCAGGCACATTGACGGGTCGGCATTTCCTGCCCAGGACAGAACCAACTCATTTTCATTTCCCAAGCAGGGAAGCAGATGTGGCCCGGTTCTGCTTACCAGGGCACAGGGACAGGATGGAGGATAAACCCCAGCGGAGCTTGCCACCTTGCTCCATAACCCCAAGCCCACCATCAAGGGAACGACCAACACTCAGAGGCAGGGCTGCAACCCGATCCTGGGAGCAGCGCCCCCAGCAGGTTGAGAAGGCAGCACTCAATGGCATAAGCATCACTTCTCCCAGGCCAGAGAGGGCTGAGATGTCAATGATTTGTTTAAAATGACAACACTGACCAAACTCAGATTTAACAGGAAGTACATCCGGAGGGAGAACTCCCTGGAGGAGGAGGACCCCCCCACCCCCGGGTCATTCCAAAGCCTGTGTGAGCTGCATTCCAGAAGGCCAACCACAGGGACAGCCTTGCTGGGGCCAGGTGGTGGCCTAGGCCTTCTCCCTACCAGCACCCTTCTTCCAGGACAGAGGACACGGGGTGCCAACCCAGCCCGGGCTTTCCCAGGCCCAGATGGAGACCCAGGTCAGCTGCAGCTGGAAACTGCAGCTAAAAATATCCTCCTCTGCCCAGCACAGCAAGTGGGTGCCCCGCCCTGCCAGTCGGGGTTCCAGACAGAGCCAGGAACTCCCGGCTGCCTCCCTCCACCTGAGGCTTCCTTCTCCCCCTGGGATGCTCCCAGAGGCAAGACCAGCCACTGGAGCACAGTTCTGGCTTCAGATCCTGAAATCCTGGGATCTTTTCTCCTCATCATCCCCAGGACCATCCCAGGCAGACTTACCCAGGTAGATGTCTCCAAAGGACCCACTCCCAATCTTTCGGCCCAGGCGGTACTTGTTTCCCACGCGTAGCTCCATGATTCACTCTCGCTGCAGAGGGAAGCAGAACTCGGGTCAGAGAACTGGGAGCTGGGAAGGGGCCTCACCCACCCCTCCCCACCAAAGGCTAGGCAAAGCCACAAAGAGACTTGGAAGACCAACCATCTCCCTCCCACTGCCCAGGAAGCAATTTGACCTCACTTTGCTTGAGGGCAGCCAGGTGTCAGGTAGCCCTGTAGCCACACCCACACATCTGGGAGCAGCCTCAGCAGGTCCTGCACAAGACACTGGAGAAAACAGCCCCCTTTTAGGCCCAACCTCTAACCCACCCCCAAGCCTGGCCAGTTCCCAGTGTGTTTTGAGGGAGGGGGCCTGATCCACACTGGGGGAGAGGCAGGACAAGGACCTGCCAACCTCCACGCCCTCCACTCCTGACACCAAGAGCCTTTCACAGCCCTCTGCCTGCATCTGTTTGGAAAGACTGTCAGGCTGACTTTTTTCAAGACTAGGAGGGCTTCTCCCTGGGAACTGGCCCTGGGCTCGGGCAACCCAAGCCAGGTTTAAGTGTCCAGTCCCTGTGGGACTAGAGTCATTCTGATGTGAGAAGCTCCCCTTCCTTCTGCTATTCATCCTAGGTACCCCAAGCCCACCAACAACAGGGACCTCTAAGCCACTCTGGCAGGGATCTCTGTACTGGTCTCGGGCAGAGGTCTGGGCACCTGTGCTCCTGCCAGCAAAAGAGGAGACTCACAGGCAGTTTTGGTGAGAATGGCAGGGAATGGCAGACTGGGAAACAGGGAGGGGAGGTCCAAGAGACCTCAGGGTGTTTACAAGAGGGTTAGTCTGCGTAAGCAAGAGGGGACTCCTTTTGCAGACGGGAACTCAGGCCCAGAGAGACCAAGCCACAGCCCTCATGCCATCCAGCAGCAGACAGTGCCAGGGTCCCAACAAGGAGCTGACAGGGGTCCTGCTGGCCCTCCCAGCCCCCGACCCTCACACACAGGGCTTCTTTCATGCCAGGGACGGAAGGCAAAGCAGGAAGATGGGAAAGCAGCTGTGCTGACCCTTCCCCATGCCAAGGGCTGCCCCCAGAAGCCAGGGACCTGGGAAGGGAGCTGGGAGAGACTCCTTCCTTTGGTAGTCAGGCTAGACTTCCCTGAACCGGGCAGAGCTAGGAGCCAATAGCTCCTGCCTCAGAGTAATATCCCAGTCTAGAGCCGGCTCCCAGGGAGAAGCCTCAAGCCATCGGCAGCCACAGGAAACAGCCTCCACCCGGTGGCAGCCAAACTGGGGACTCTCCATCAGGGCCTCTGCCCACATGCCTGGCCTGGCCCAGCTGAGGCACCACGGCTGCCAGCAGCACACCCCACATTTGCAGGAAACCCACACGCCGCACACCCCACATTCACACGCCGTCCAGCTGCCCGGTGTGTACCCGCCAAGGGAAGTGAGGAAAGCACACAAGCAATGAGCCCTGCTGGGGGGCCGGCGAGTACGCATACAGCCCCCCCCCCCAGCCCGTTTCCACCAACGCTGATTCAGAGACCACACATGGCAGCCGGGGAGCTGCAGGTTAGGAAAGAAACATAAATATACCCGCATCCTATATTACATAAATACCCATGCCGGGTTATATAAATACCCATGCCCTCTGTCTGGGTGTCTTACATAAATATACTGCACATAACCCCACAGCCCCCCTCGGCTCACCGGGCTGTCTGCAGAGAAGGGAACAGGGGTGCAAACCACCAGCCCTCCAGGACCCCCCAACTGCTCTGTGCCAGCCACCCAGAGAGCAGGGTCTCCCCAGCACTGGGGGCCCAGGGCCCTAGGGAGAGCCTTGTGTGTCCCAGCATCCCCCAAAGGAGAAGGGAAAGGGTTCATCCGAGAATGGGGGAAGCTTTCCTGTTCTCTGGCTGCTTTTCCCATGAGGGTGGGGTAGGGATGGGGGGAGATAAACAAAGTAAAAAAACAAAAAACAGGCAGACATGGAGTCAGGAGTTTCAGTGGGTTAGAAGATGAGACAAACTACCAACCAAAGGGCCACATGGGCAGGTTTTTTACTTCCTGACACCTCCTCCCTTCCCTAGAGGCAGGACCCTTGTCACTGGACCATAAAGATAAAAACTGAAGGGGTATCCCAGCCCCCAGGCAAAGGAGACCCAAACTCGGGCCATGTACAGGAAGCATCTTAGGACACCCTTCTTGCCCCCAATCCTTCTGCCTGAGAGGTTAGGCCAACAAGAAAACATGTAAAGAAACTAAGGGCAAAGTTGGGGAGGGGGGTCCCCACACCCTGAGTTTGGGTGCTTCGAGTTGGGAACCCTCTTTCTAAGGTCGGGGCACCGACAGTTTTGCTCCCAGAGACCTGCAGAACAGGATTTCTCACCCACAAATGGGAGAATCGCGTCCGATAAATAACCCCCCTTCCCTTCTCCACAAAGGAAAACAAAGCCCTTGGCCTGGGCGACCAGGCACCCCATCACCCCAGGACTCCCCTCCCACAGGCGGAACAGCCTTGCTGACCCTGGCTCTGGGGCACCGGGCCAGAGAGCAGGGGGGCGCCGTGACGTCCGCGAAGCCGACCGAAGCCCCGGGTTGGCCGGGAAGCCCGAATCGACAGTACCGGGTGCCCTCAGCACCCCCGTCCCTCCCTCGGCGTCCCCAAGTCACGGCCCTGAAGCCGCCTCGGCGGCCGGGGCCTTGGAGAGTCCAGCTGGGGGAGGCGGGCGGGGCCGAGGGGTCCTCCCCCTCAGGCCTGCAAAATAACAGTCCCCCTCC